CTCTACCAAACCTAATATCTGCATATGCAAGACCAGAATTCTCACTCACATATTTCCTCATCATCAAACGTCCTATCAGTGAAGCTTTAGCATCTTTCTTGAACACAAACCTCCCAATTCGTGTCTTTTCTTCTGCTTGAACACAGGATGCAGCCAACTGGAACTGAGGTTCAGTTGGATACCATAAACCATAATTGAAGGCCCAACGAATGCTCTCTCTGCCATTCATTGCTGAAGAAATATACTACATATTAAACTGATACCACCAAATTACAAGGATAAGGATTTTTAACAATCATGGCTCACTTTCCTCTAACGCACTTCTCACTGGGATCCATCCAAAACCTCTATATTAAAGTTCCAAAAGAACCCAACCACAAGGAGGCCACTTTTAGTTGCCACAACCTGAAGAAAAACAGAGACAGTCCAGTGTCACTAACCAGTTTCTGTAAAATTAATCTTATTCAAGCATTTTAAACTTGGTAATAGTTTAAAGTAACACAAATGAAAAAGAACATACTGATATTACAAAAATACCGTATTCAATACTACAGAGGTTTGGGATGGACTGTCTTTCCCATACAGATATGACGGTCATTTCAGACACTAACATACAAAATTAATACACCAAAGCGTACAACATGTGATTACTATGGTGCCTTTCATGCCCAGCTATACATGGTGGTCCATCCACATCCTCACTTCCTTCACAATGGGAGAAAGGTGTAAGATACATAAAGATAAACACATAACCTGTACATGTAATGGCTAATCACAAAATTTTCTTTGGATTCCATATACAGAAAAGGGCATACGATGTTAGATAACATATCCTCATGGAAGTAATAAAACAAAGATAGTGATCATTCCGTAGAATACAGAATTGATGACTGTCATTCACATGCTGAACATATTCTATTGCTCCACTGACATGGCAAACATGAAGAAAACCCCTCTGGAAGTAATATCAACTAATAAAATATTGTGACATAACGGCTGAGAGCCAGAATAGTGGATGGAGAGATGATGACCATTACTAAGTAACTGATCCATAAATGTGTCCATGGCAAGGGCCACACACAATAGAAGAACTCTCGGAAACGTTTTCTATGCAGTCCATGATGAGACTATATATACAGAGTATGAATGGGGCAAGTGAGTTAGTTGCAGCTGAAAATCAGTAATGGCTAGGAGGTAATGAGATGCAGTCATGAGTTAGTTGTAACATGAACACCAGCCAGCAATGACGTGAGTATGGAAGCTGAAGAATCTCTACTGTTAGATGCCATTACCAAGCAACAACCAGTGAAAACTATGATGGGCAGTCAAATGAAAATGGGTCAGAAGCCAAAACATATTGAAGAACATTTCTTCCCTCAAAAGTAATCTCCAAAACTGTTAATATATTTATCTCACTGGGAGATAAGATGGTCAATCCCATCCTTGAAAAAGCTTGTGGGTTGTCTACGGGACCACATCTTTACCCAGCCACACACATCTTCATCCAATGCAAACCGATGTCCACGAATGTCTCTCTTCAGGTCTCCAAAAATATGAAAATCACATAGGGAGAGACCTGGGCTGTAGGGAGGATGTTGAAGCACTTCCCAACCAAATCTCTGTAGCGTAGTCCTCACAGAGTTGGCAGTGTGGGGGCGCGCATTATCACAAAGAAGGATAACGCCTTTCGATAGCATTAGAGGGTGTTTTGACTTCATGGCATGTCTCAATTTCTGAAACGTTTCTTCATAGCACTGTGCACTGATTGTGACCCCATGCTCAAGAAATTCGACATGCAGAGGGCCCTTGCAGTCAAAGAAGAACGTCATCATCACTTTACCGGATCTTGTGTGTATGGCTTTGGATTTTTTCAGTGGGGTAGAATTCACACGTTTCCACTGCTGGCTCTGCCGTTTGATCTCAGGTTCAAAATGGTAGCACCAAGTTTTGTCCCCGGTGGTAACATGGGACAGAAAAGCATACTCTTCCTCATGGTATTGCTACACGTGACCCAGTGATACAGCCATTCTCTGGGTCTTCTGTTCCTTTGTAAGTTGATGTGGAACCCACTGCACACAGAATTTGCGGTCCAGAAGGTGTTTTGTCACAATGGTGTGTATGGAACTGTGATTTATTCCCATCAAAAGACTAATTTCTTCCACAGTGATCTGTTAGTTTGCCCAGATATGACCATCCAATGCAGCAATAACATCAGGAGTGATGACATGATAAGCCTGTCCTGGGCAAGCATCATCTTGCAGTGACACACGTCCCTCTCGGAATCTCTTATGCCACGCCAGCACATGTGAATGTGACATGCTGTGTTCACCGTAAACAACAGACTTGCGATGATGAATTTCTCATTCTCCTACTCCTTCAGCAGTCAAAAAGTGCACTACACTTCTCTGTTCTTCTTTACCTGCCTCCATTACTGTTGTTGGATGATTACATGCAGCGCTAACCTTACTTCCAGCACAATAAACAAACGACTAGTGTGCAAGGGCACACTGTCACTGTTCGTACTGTATGCAAATTCCAGTGTTATCAATTTGCGTGCCATTCAACTTATGCGTGGTGACCTGTTTTCATTTGACTGCCCCTTATATAACAGACTTAGACTTAATGTGTGCAGTAATGACTCCAAAATGGAGGTGGGATCAAATACATCCACCATAGCCCTGCGAATCATACGAGGTGATGAAATGGTAACCAAGTGCCTGGAGGTCTTAACTAGGCCACATAAAAACATGGACCTGGCCCTACAGGCTGGGGGGTTTCAAATCTGATACAGCAAAATATGGCCATGAGTCCCACATGACTCAAGGCCTGAGAGTGACTGCACTGGCAAGGGCCAGGAACGATTGTAAATGAGACACCCATCCTCTTGTAAGAGATGATGTTACATGAGGACTATGACTTCAAGTGTTCAGCTGGCGGGGGGACTGGCCGAGTCTCAACAGGCTTGTTGCCAAGATGAACTGAATGGCAGGGAACCACTAATCATAAAGTGACTCTGACTCTGTGCAGTAGTGATTTATGAGCATAGAATGGCAACAGAATTATAAATATTTTTAGTTACAAGTGTTCAATAATTCCAATTATCAATCCAAACCCCGTCTATTCATTAAATCATGACAATATAACATAAATTATATGTAAAATAAACCCATACTAAATGGGGGCACATGGAAGCATAGTTGGTTGAGACACTATGCTACAAGACAGAAGGTCGTGGTTTCAATTCCTGATGGAGCCAATGGAATTTCCAACTGACCTAATTCTTCCTGACAAACTATGGCCCTAGGGTCAACTCAGACTCTAACAGAAATGAGTATGAGAAATCTTCCTGGGGGTAAAGGGCAGCTGGCACATAAGATTGACAAACTCACAGCCATTTGTGAGCTGACCATATAGAAAATGTCGGAGCCTTGACGTCTCACAACCCTATATGCCTCCATGGACTGTCTCAGGGATACCATTTACCTTTACCCATACTGAATTAAAGATAAAAAATTAACCTAACAGCATAACCATCCAGACCATACCACGAACTAACTACTCGTGTGATATTCCTACAAACCACTCTCTTAGCGACTTGTACACCATACTAAAATTACTCTTTCTCAATTCAGAAGTGTGACACATATCAATAAAGTTTAATTTTCCTCAGTTCAGTTTGGTATGTCACATGCAAATGGTTTGAAAAGGAGTGGGAGGAGTTAATGCTCAAAACATGACTATAAATCAGCAAAACAAACACTGCACAGACAGTATGTGTGTTGTAAGGTAAGTCTGCTCCAACAGAAATAGCTGAAGGTAATACATGTTTAACAGAGAAAGCTAACAGTATACAAAGACGATACTCCAAAATGAGGTCTCATTTGAAATGATTCAAAAGTGGTAACACAGTTCTGATCCCAACTTTAACTCCCAGTTTTTACTTAACATACTGTAATGTGTTTGGAGTAGGTACTCCCATGGCAATGCAATAACAATGAGCAATTGCATAGAGAAGGCCAAAACAACAAAGCAGCATTTCCCCAGAGATGGACAACAGAAAGTTCGTTGCATAACAACAGACTGTCGGAACAGTGAGGAATGGTGTCTGGTATCCAGTCCACATAACCCCTATATAAGAGAGTTGGAAGCAGAGCTAGACACATACGACCAAGACAGTCTTGGGACAGCCACCGCTGAAGACAGTTGGGAACCAGCCACAGGGAGAGACAGTTGGTTGATAGCCGTCGCAGAATGCAGTTGAAGTGATACTATTTGTATTTGAGTGTGCAAGAAATAAATGTGTGTGAAGTTATTTGGCATGTAGCATACCCAACATGTGACAACTGGTGTCACAAGTGGGATTGGGCTTACACACGACTGACAGGAACGAACTTAAACACACCTCAATATACGAGGAATAACTGAACTTACGAGCACAACAAGCGTTACCTTACAAAACAAAGAAGAATGGAATCACAACAAATAATGGAACTCCTGCTGGCCATGTGAGCGGAAACGGAAACTGCCAAAGCAAGGACGATAGCCATAAAAGAAAGGATGGCAGCAGAAAGGGAAGCCATAATAGAAGAAACGAATGCAAACCAGGCAAAGGCTGACATCGAGTGGAAAGCCTGGCTGTCACCCGCAGAGGGATGACCCACCATGCGAGTGGCATGGCCACCGCGGAATGCAGTTGAAGTGATACTATTTGTATTTGAGTGTGCAAGAGTAAATGTGTGTGTGAAGTTATTTGTCATGTGGCATACCCAACACGTGACAATATTATATTTCTGAACCTGACAAAATGTTTGTAAGATTCAAGCTAAAATTCACATGGTAAAGCCAATTCCACAGACCCACTATTAATATCCTCATTCACACAATGATATTCAGGTTCAAACATGTAAATTTTAAACCGCAATACTGGCAATAATACGTTTTCGTTGCAAAATGGCAATACACAAACTGCATAATTAATCATTTTGGTTATCAGATCATACCATACAATCTGGCATTATCCGGTCCTCTGTCCCGAAGAAATGATGTAGCTGTCAACACAGCACCTTTCAGCAAATCTTCATTACATTCATATTCATCTAAAATAAAAATTAAACAAATTCCATTACACTTACAATCACAACTGCTTCAGTTATCGAAGATTAATGATGTTCGTTTACATACTGAAACTTCATATACTTGGAACACATTCGGTTGTTTTTAACCCCAGGCGATTCGTAACCTCCTCCCTAATGCAACAAAATAATCCTTACATTGTTTAAAGAAATGTCACAAAACAAAATACTAATACTGGCAACTAAACGTATAGAAAAAAGTTCGTTATGACTTATATACGTTACTAGAAACGCCATATTAAATTGGGCTTGGTCCCCTGAGTCATTCAAACATTTAAATTGTATCCTGAAATTCGTGTAAATATATAATATTACAACAATCATTAAATAATATCAGAACACTGTATAATCAACGCACCTCCTCTGGCAGCATGTATTGTTAAAACGGATAAGACTAACACATAAAACTTGCAAACACCCATTGCTACACAGCACAATACAACAGCCATTAACATATACAACGATATATAAGCTCTACGAGCATCTACGAGACCTACGAGACAGTTAACCGCAGTGAACGGTAAAATTGTATACCGGCCGGAGCGTATACGCGTGTCATCTATGATGAAACATCGAAAATATTTCTTAAGCCGCCGATATCAGACTTCGGTTACTCAATCAATAATGTATACTTCTACAAAATGTAGTAAACAGCCTAAACTCTTTTGGCGCAGTTTCGGTGCGTACGCCGGCGGAGTCGGTTAGGTCGGTTGTCTACTGGTGCTGTTAATTTTTTTTTAATTCACTTAATGGGGGGAGGAGTCCAACTGGGTCCACTCGGCACGGCGGCCACTGATTCGCCTATTGTAGAATGCCCCAGGCGATTATGGTGACGGAGAATTTGGTGGAATGAAGATTTGCAGAGGAAACCGAAATACTCTGAGAAAACCCGCCCCAGTGCCACTTTGACCACCACAAATTCCACTTCACCATACCCAGGATCGAACCTGGGCCGCCGCAGTGGGAAGCCAGCGACTAACCGCTAGAGCTATGGCATGGCCTTAGAAGGTATTAAACTTAAAACCTACTATATCAAAATAATCCACAAAAGATAAAATTCAATTTAGATAAAGAATAAATAATTTGGAGTGCAGTCTCTTTTAAGACTTCCATTCCATTTATAGGCTGAATCATATTTTAAAATTTCATCTAATTACTAGTCATTTTATTTACACTTAAATCTATTTATCAAGGAGAATCTTATTCGTTTAACTGTCCTTCTGATAGGAACTCATGCAAATTATACAATGGATGTTCCAGTAAATATCTTTTGAGTCTATGTAGGAATTCTCTATCAGCTTTTACCATTCTTAGTTCCAAAGGCAGTCTATTATAAAGCTTAATAGCCATATTTGTAACACCCTTCTCATATGTTAAGGTATTATAATTTTGCACGTGAAGGTCTCTTTCTTTCTCGCGTCATACTTATGTAGGTCAGAGTTTTTTGTGGTGTAAATGTTATATTTCTTGAAATAACGTAATACCTCTAAAATATACAAATGTTACCGTTAAAATTTTTAATTCTCTAAATATAGGTCTACATGATGTTCTTTTT